TGTGGAGACGTGAGCATGTGAGGATTTTCTGTCGTCCGTTAGCAGCTGCTCCGAGATGCGTCTTTCCTCCCAGAGGAGAGGAAGCGCTGGGAGAGGGACAGTGTGACCCCCGCACACGGACTTCCCTCTGTCGGGGGCCTTAGCCACGCGCCCAGAATAGCAAATGAAGCAAGGGCGCTGGAGCTGCTGTCAACGGGGGCCCCGGCACCTGCTCCCAGGTAATGGGGAGGGTCTGACAGGCGTCCTCCTGTCGGACAGTCACTCACTCGCCTTTCAGAGGCTCGGGTGCACGGCGGGGAGGCCGGTCTGTTGACTCCCCTCAGCAGCCGCGGATAAATCCTGCTCCGCTCTGGACACATCTGGAAAAGCCTCTGCAGTTCTGGGCTTAAAGACACAACAGGCTGAGTGCTTGTGAGAAGTTATGTACTAAATTTTTCTCTAAGAACTACATCTCATTATCACTGATCAAACCAGTTATGTTGTTATAACGTCTCGATACGTGCCAAATATTACATCATTTTCACTAAAAACGCGATCGTTGTATGTATTATTATTCAACTTACTGTTGCACTTACAACGCAATGTGACTTTATTAAAAATAACAGAAAGCTCTGTCATTCTTATAACCTGTGCACAGAGAGAAACCTTTCCTGAGTCCTGTCAGAGTGGCTCGTGCTGGGCTTGCCCTCCCGTCGTATGAAACTGGGCAAAATACGCGAAAAACCGTTATCGGAGATTGTGCGACAGGTGGCGCAGGGCCACGTTGCCTTCTCAAAAGGAAACACGTTGCGTAAGCCCCACGACCCCTCCGCCTTCTGCCTGCAAGTCTCTCAGGCCCGCGGAGAGCACAGTGTTCATATTGTGCTGAATGAGAGAAGATTGTAACGCTTGAGTCAGAACAGAAACAGAGCGATGCAGAGAAAGGGCTCCGGATGTCCGCTCGAGGGCCTCCTGGGCCCGCTGTGCTGAGCACGAACACACCCAAGGATGCAGCCGGGTCCCGTGGGGGGGACACCTGCGCCTCCATAGGCCATGTATCCCCAGAGATCACACAGGACACGTTTCAGCTCCACCTGCCAGAGTGAAGAGATGTCGCTGAAAATTAGACCCCAAGCGGGAAACACTTTACTAGTTGGGCAAACTCGTGCAAACGGCCACATTAGATTAACAAAGCTGTGAAAGATCATGAAATACACAAGCAGCCCGGCCGGCGTGGCTCAGCGGCTGAGCATCGACCTAGGATCCAGGAGATCGCAGTTCGATTCCCGGTCAGGGCACGTGCCCGGGTTGGGGGCTCCATCCCCAGGGGGGAGCCTGCAGGAGGCAGCCGATCAATGACTCTCTCTCATCATTGATGTTTCTCTCTCTCCCTCCCTCTCTCTGATATCAATAAAGATATTTTTTTTTTAAAAAGGGAAAACACTTATTTTTAAAAAAAGAAATACACAAGCCACTTGACTGCCCGCCAACGCCAGCTTTCACTGCGTTGAAAGAAAGACCACAAAATCCATACTCCGAACAGCAGACCGTCAGCATTGTCTGGCATGTGGTGAAAAATCACTAGACAAGCAGCGAAGGAGGGGAAAGGGCTCTGGCCGGGAAGCAAACTCAGTCAGTAAGAAACCACAGGGCCCGGAACGAACACATAACGACCTTAGAAGAGCGTGNCAGGACCGATGAGCGCTCAGCTGTCCACTCCAGCTGCGTGTGCGTCTCCCGTTCCGATCGGTCAGTGCCTGGCACATACTGAGTGTTACGTATCTTAGATTTCATCTCTGAAAAAGTGGCTTCTCCTTGGCTGAATGTTCTGCTGTTTGTTCATTTTACTGAAGGTTTGTTCCTAAGCGTCTGTGTCCCAGGATCCTGGTCTGTCCGCTTCTTTCCGTCCTAACCGGCCCTCGCACGCTCATTTACACACGTGCACACACACACGCGCCTCAGAAATGCTTTGAGGAAATGCTGATGGCGAGGAAACGGGTGGGAAGGGGAGACGGGAGGCTCACGCGTTAGGTGTGTAGTGACCTGGGGCCGGGCCGGGTGAGCCTGGGCTGGGTGGTGGCACCGACCACGAGAGGGGACAGATGGGCACTGGGATTTGTGAGGGCGCCTGTCAGACCCCAGACACCCACAGTGAGGAAGGGAGAGAAGCCTGGAGAAGGCGACTCCTAAAACGTATGCTTCTCCTCAGCACTGGGCATGGTGGGAATTCGGGGTGCTCTGCACAGTGACGGGCCTGAAAGGCGGGCCGTTCACGGTGAGACCGGCGTCGCCGTGGGCTCTGCGTCTGCAGACACTGAGCGGGGGGAGGAGGGTCGGGGACAGTTCTCAGCACAGAGCTTTCTAGCCTGTGACACCGTCTGGGCCAGGACAGTGCCCCGATTCCTGGGTTATCTTAGGGGGACATTACTGACTCGGGGCCGGGGGTGGAGGAACTGATTTTTCATGCCCACTTCTGTCCCTGCCCTGTTCCCGGACGGACACGTTAGAAATGAACGTGAGCTGTGTAGCCCGACGGTGAGAACGTGAGGCCGACCCCAGGAAAACAGAGCTGGGATCTCCTACGTTACTACACCTGGGACGGGAGCCCAGTTATAATATGTTTTGCTTTAAAAATTCCATCTTCATAGGATTTAGAATGACCGCCAGGCTGAGCTCAAGACGGAGCCCCCCGTGGTTAGATAAATCCATTGTTCTCAGAGACACTTGAATCTTGAAAGAAAATTTAGCCTTGAGAAAAAGGCAGCAAGAGGGGGGATGCGCAGACCACTTGCTGTTGTTGAAGAAACAGAACCAGCTTTTACGAAATCAACAAATGAGTGTTCTCATTCGCCAAACATTTACTAAACTCTTAATAGAAGACATTTCATTATGGGCCGTGAACAGAGAACTAAAATATTTTATTCCTGCTTTCTAAACGTACAGGAAAGACAAAAAATACACCAGCTACACAGATCAGATTATTGCTCTAACATATAACTACCCAAAGGGGAGCTGGGGAAACAGAGGAAGAAGTCAGAGGAGGGGCTGGGTCTGAGTAAGTCGAGAGAAGGGTCAGACGTCAAAAGAGACAAACTTTTAGCTAAAACGTGAAGGGGAGGAATGTGAGATGGTCAATCAGACAAGACGGGAAATAGGTTTCTCGACAGGGGAGAGACGTGCATTCTGGACAATGCCTATATGCTGAAGCCTCATTGCAATAGCTTGCCTCTATCCTGGAGGAAATGTGACTACTAGTTTCATTTAAGGAATAAATTTATGGGTGTGGGTAGATAAAATTCTAAGATGACCCACAATGACACACGGCCAAGCATGATCCCCTCACCTTCAGCGTGGGAAGGATCCGTAACTTCCCTTTAACAATGGGGCCAAAAATGTCACTTTTATGGTTACATTATGCTTGGGGTTGGTCTATAAATTCAAGATAAATAAATTTGAATTTCACGTTAAAAACAGGTAACTTTTTAGTATAAATATGTTTCATGTGATATTAGGGACATACTTGTGAATCTGGCAACTGTTTGATTATAAGGTAAAGAATTTTTTCCCATGTCCCGGCTGACACCTTGGCCGTGACCCTGTGAGATTCTGAGCCGAGACCCCGGNCCGGCTGACACCTTGGTCGTGACCCTGTGAGAGTCTGAGCCGAGACCCCGGCTGGGCTGAGCTGAGACCCCGGATCCCCTAAGACCGTGAGACCACAGGCGGGTGTTGCTCTGAGCTGCTCCTGTCGGGCTGACTTACAAAGGCCTCCTCTCCTGTTCTCTCCATGGCCTGGTCAGCGGTGCTGCTGACTTGGACGACCTGGGTGTCATATCTGCTCATCAACAGAGACTAGAAGACCAGGCACAGGGATGGACGTCAAGAACAGACCACCTGGGGGGACAGGGACAGGGACAGGGACGGGGGAGAGGCGCTCTCAGCCGTTCTTGATGGAACTGGCTTGTGAACGAAATGCTGAAATACAGTGTATTCTAGGACCCAAAATGACGTTGGGAGTAAGGAGAGACTCTGCAGTGTGTGGGGACTTTATTACAGTAATTTCACAATGAAATGGATCCTCACGGGAGATACTGAGTCCCTGTTACAGCAGGTGTTCGGGCCTCCAGAGTAGAAGGGAGACTTTATGGAGCACAGCAGAGAGGAACAAAGAGTGTTTTGATCTTGGTAATGATGTGAATTTTAGTAAGTTTCCTTACCTTTTTGTACCTCAATTTCCATAGGATAAGTTACCTAACTCTTGCATTTTCACGGGCATCAGATAGATGAAATGTCTGAGGAAACCTCTGATCTACAGAACATCCAACGGTGTTATTGTAAAGAACATTGTGTCCGTGTGCTGCTGTGATTTGAACTAAAGGACCACCTAGAACTGGTAAAAATGTATTGAGAAATGGCTCTGGGGGTAAAATATATCTGACAACAGCATTTATGAGTATTTGGATTCACAGGAAGTCTCCAACATAAAATGTGGAGGAGCTTCAGTGCAGCCCAGCACTGCCTTCCAATGAGATAGCCTACAGACTAATTAGCAATTACTTAGCTACTCAAAGAATTTAGTCAAGTTCATCTTAATAGCTGCATTCCACACATAACTTCCCTCCCCCCACAGAACCCTGATACATAGAACTTATCTCTGGAATCATGTGTTCGGATAACTGGAAAATTGATAGAAACTCACGTTAGAGGTTTGTAATTGGCTCAAGACAATGCCCAGGTGACAAAAAACAAACCCGGATCCCCAGTAAAAATTGGAGACTCTATACTAATGGGTCACTTAAGGCAGGTGCTGTGGCTATGAAAATACCAAGTCCTCTCATGATCAACTGACACGAGTGACTTGCGCATACCAGGTATTAAATAAATATTTATTACGTGAATCACAAAATTGACAGCATTCTCTGACCCTTCCTGTCCCTATATAAAGCGCCCAGGGTGGTGGGTGACATTCAAACTCCAGAAGCATCCTCTGCACCTCGACTGAAACCTCACCCTCTGCCAGCATGTGCTGCAACTACTACGGGAGCTCCTATGGGGGCTGTGGCTACGGCTCTGGCTACGGCTGTGGATATGGCTGTGGATACGGCTCCAGATACGGCTGTGGATACGGCTCTGGCTACGGCTGTGGATATGGCTCTGGCTACGGCTGTGGATATGGCTCTGGCTACGGCTGTGGATATGGCTCTGGCTACGGCTGTGGATATGGCTGCGGATACGGCTCCAGATATGGATGTGGCTATGGATCTGGCTACGGCTATGGCTGCTGTACCTGCCGACCATGTTGCTACAGGCGATGCTATTCCTCTTGCTGCTAGAACATCATCTTAGACCATCCTACACCTCTAACATAATATTTAAAAATTAACACTTTCCTCCAAAGGACACCCCATTTTACCATCTCTACATTCAAGTAAGGATTGGATACCAACTGTATCTACATCAAACTCTTGTCTGTTATTGACGAATTATGAATGCTTCCATTACGTGACCTGAAGACAGAAGATTTGATTCTGATTATGTTCAAAATGTAAAATTTTGGTTTTCCTATTCTATTTTGCTGTATTGTCCATAAATACAAAGACTCCATAGGTGGAGGAAATTATACAATTTCAATAAACAAATTTTATTCATTCCTGTGTTTTGTGTCGGAAGCATCACTGTACCTGTGGCCTTCCTAGAAGGCCAATCAACCACTGTGTTAGCTGATCCTTAGGTTAATTTATTCCTTCATCTACTGTATGTGTCCATTCGGTCACCAAGACCACATGGTTTTGTTTACTGCAGGGTTGTAGTAAATCTTGATATTAGGTAATGGGAGTACTCCAACTTTGTTTCTTTTCAAAACTATTCTAGTTTCTTTGCTTTCCACCTAAACATTAGAATCATCTTGTCAACATCTACAAATATATCTTGCTGAGATTTTTATTGGGATTGAATTGAATCTACACATCAATTTTGGGAGAATAGACTTCTTAACAATATTGGGTCTTTCAATCCATGAACATGGTATATCTCTGCATATATTTAGGTCTTCTTTGATTTCTGTGATGGGTTCTAATTCAAAATTTAACAAGAGCAATTGGCTTTGTACTACTGAAGGCATATTCTTGTGGGGTAGATAAACCAAAGTTTAAAAACAATGAGACATCTAAATAACTAAATTAAAATAATAAATTAACAGAATTATAAAAAGTGTTTCTAATGATTAATAAAATAAACAGTGGCTTGCTATTAAATATCATATGGCCTGCAAAACTCACAGAAGAAGAAATAGATAATCTCAGTAGGCCTAAAACTCTTAAATTGAAACAATAATAACTCTCCAAAACAGAAAGCACCAGTCCCAGATGGCTTTACTGGAAAACTCTACAAAAATTTAAAGGAATAAGTTATACCAATTCTCTACAATCACTTCCAGAAATAAAATCAGAAGGAATACTTACCAATTAGGTCACCATTACCTTAATACCAAAACCAGATAAAGACATTACAAAAATAAAAACTACAGACAAATATCTAAATGAACATAGATACGAAAATTCTCAATTAAATATTTCCAGTTTTACTCCAGCATTGTATAAAAAGAATTCTACACCATAACCAAGCTGAATTTATCCCAATTATGCAAGGTTGGTTCAAAACTCAAAAAAGGAACCAATGTAATTTATTGCATCAACAGCCTGAAGAAGAAAAATCACATGGTCATTTCAATAGATGCAGAAAAAGCATTTAACAAAATCCAGCATCCACACATGAATAAGATTTTTCACTAATCAGTAATAAAGGAAAACTTCCTCAGTTTGATAAAGAATACGTATAAAAAACCTATGCAACATCACCCATATTTAAAAGTGAAAAACTAGAAGCTTTCTTCCTAAGAAACAAGGCGCAGATGTCCTCTCTCGTTATTTCTCTTCAATATCATCTCAGAAGACCTTGCTGATGCAATAATGCAAGAAAAACAGGTAAAAGGTATACTGATGAAAGAAAGAAAGAAAGAAAGAAAGAAAGAAAGAAAGAAAGAAAGAAAGAAAGAAAGAAAGAAAGGAAAACAAACTATTTTTTTCCACATGGGATATGATTGTCTATGTAGAAAATCCAAAAGAAACAACCACAAAAACAAAACTCCTGTAACTAATAAGTGATTAAAGCAAGGATAGAGTTTACAATCTTAATATACAAGAGTCAATTGCTTTTCTACATGTTAATAATGGACAAGTAAAATTTGAAATTAAACAATAATACATACTATAGCAGTCAAAATATGAACCACTTAGATGTAAATCTAAAAGAAATGTGTACAAGATCTAACATGAGGAAAACCACAAAACTCCTATGAAGAAATTACAGAGGAGCTAAACAAATAGATGTCCTATGTTCATGGATGGGAAGGCTCCATATTGTCAAGGAGTCGGGTCCTGGATTCACTGCAATCTCACTAAAAATTCCAGCATATTGTTTTGCGGATTTCAACAAAGCGATTATAAAGTTTATACGGAGAGGCAAAGATCCAGAACAGCGAATGTGGTATTGAAGAGGAAGAGCACGCTGGAAGAGGAATGCTACCCGACTTCACTTCTCACGATAAAGCTGCAGTCATCAAGACGGGTGGTATTGGTGAAACAGACAAAACTCAATGGGGCAGAACAGACCAGAAACAGACTCACACGAATAGGCGTCAACTGATCTTTGTGAATTCAGAAAGGATGGTCTTTTCAACACATGGTGCTGAACAACTGGACATCCACATACCAAAAAGAAAAAAAAAATCTAGAAATAGGCCTTGCATCCTTCATGAAAATTAACTCGAAATGAATCACAGACATAAATATAAAATGAAAAGCTATAAAAGTTCTAGAAGATCACATGGGAGAAAGCCTAGATAATCTTGGGTTTGGCCATGACCTAGTTATAAAACCAAAGACACAGGTTACTACAGAAGGAATTGATAAGCTAGACTGCACTCAAGTTCAAAACTTTCAGGTATTATTTTAGAAGGATTTAATATAAAAATTAAAAAAAAAAACTTCTGCTCTGGGAAAGACAATGTCAACATGATAAGCAGACATGTCACAAACTGGAAGAAAATATTTGTAAAGAACACATCTGATAATGTTATCCAAAATATGCAAAGAATTCTTAAAACTCAGCAATAATAAGGGAAACAACCTTATTTAGCAATGAGCCAAAGACCTTCCCAGACACTTCACCAAAGAAGATTGCAGATGAGCACAGGAAAGGATGTTCACGTGGTATGTCATCAGAGGGATGCAAATTAAAATAACAATTAGAGACCACTACGCACCTATTAGAATGGCCAAAATCTGACCACAAGTGCCAATAAGGCCAGGAAGCGAAGCAGAACCTCATTTATGCTGGTGGAAGCAAAGCAGGATAGCCACTTGGGAAGACAGCTTTATCGTTGTCTGATAAAGCTAAACACACCCTTACCACGTGATCCAGCTTATACACTAGGTCCACACAAAAACCTACACGGGAATGTCTAGAGCAGCTTTATTCATAATGGCCAAGACTTGGAAGGAACCAAGATGTAGATGGGAAATCTCTGTACATTCTTCTTGGTTTTTATATAAACCTAAAACTTCTCCAAAAATAGTCTTTAAAAGTTAAATATTGTGACCCTAAAATTGCTCTAAGTCGTCACAAAATTAAGGTAAAATTTAGATAACATCTGAATCTCACAGATCAAATACTTAAAAATTATAAACATTTAAATTTAATTTAATTTTGCTAAAGAAAAGATCGGTGAGATTGAGGATAGACAGAGCAAGAGCAATTCCCAAAACTTAAATACAGAGAGAAATTTTTTTTTAAAAAATGAGCAGATCCTTTGTTACCTGTGGTGTAATGCTGAGTGATCTCCTACACATACTTACATATCTAGAAGAGGGCTCAAGTTGTATTTGAATAAATATTTCCAAATTCGACTTTGCCAAAAGATACTATGAACCCAGAGACTGACAAGCTCAGCAAGTAACAACTACACAGGGAAACCAGGACAAGTGTTTTGTCTTAACTGAAAATATTTTTTTGATTTTCTAGTTTTTCTAAATGACAATCTTAAACTGGAAATAATCAAGATGATTTAGGGAAGATATAAAGGTAAAATCACTAACAGAGGTTGGCGGAAGTGGCGCATTCTGCACAGAGCTGTGGGATGTCACTTACGGCCGAGGGGAGTAAACTCAGGTGCACGTTTAATCCTCAGGGACTCCGTTCAAATCCTAAGTGTTGGTGTATCGACTAAACCAATGAAGGATTAAAATGAAACACTAAAATGAAAATTGAAAAGAAGGCAGGAAAATAAGGCAAGAAAAGGAAAGAACAAAGTGAGCAAGTGAAAGCCACACAGTGCGGCACAGACTTACAGCCACGACAGCAACCGCCTGGGGGCGAAACAGTCTGGACGCTGCAGTTAACAACGTTGCCCACAGCGACGCTCTCGAAGAAGCCCCCAAAGTAGCAGACACGGGCCGTTAGAAATAAGCACATACACAAATATAATAATATGCACATGCATTATGAATATATTATAAGCACTAGTTTCAAGAAAGCTGGAGAGGCTGTGTTAGCATCAAACAAAGTCAGCAGCAAAACAGAAATGATATAAAAGTGGACGCCCCGTGAAACATGAAATCGCTGACGAGTCTGACCGGACGGAGCAGAGAGGAACGACCGGAGGGGCATGCGCTGTTCTAAGTTTTATGGGAAGAAGTGTAACGTTACTTTTTAAATGTGATAAATATTACATACTGTAATATTTAGAGCAACCCTCGGAAATCTTGTATCTAGTAAGCCCATGCAGAGGAGATAAAACTGAATCCTCCCAAAAATACTATCAAATAATTTAATAAAAGAAATAAAAATAGGGATGGGACAAGAGGTCAGAAAATAGAAATCGAACAACAAAATGGCATAGACCTAAATATAACTGTGTCTAAATTAAATTTGAAAGTCAAAATATGTGAATCAGAAATAGGACTGAAACGTGGCCTGTGCACAATAAACCCCCAGGAAACGAGGGCACCGGAAGGCGCGACGGTGGGGAAGCCGTGGTGGGCACGCCGCTGGCCCTGAAACACGCCGCGGGACGGGGGACATTCCTAAAGCAGAGCGCGATTCTCGTGAGAGAAAGTGAATTTCTCAGTGACCATTCTAAATGAGCCGCAGTAATGACAAGGTTTCCAAGTTAGTGAAACAAAATCAAAAAAATATTGAAAGAAAAAAACCCACCATTACAAGCAAAGACCTAGAGATGTCAGAACAGTTACCGAGGTCACTGATGGGATGAAGG